ATCACGAGCCTATAATTCACACCGGCAGAGGAACTAAGATACAAGGTAGATAGATTCTAAGAGATTCATATAAAGTCCCTCATAGAACTGGGAGAGACAAGTCCCCCAGAGCACAGGGGAAGTGGAGGGAGGCAGTGAATGTAGAGAGAAGTAGGAGAAAACGAGGGGGAGGAAAGGAAAACACATGCGACCAGGAAGATTGAGCCCGGTTAGTAATAGAAGACAGGAGAGAGAGAGAGAGAGAGAGAGAGAGAGAGAGAGAGAGAGAGAGAGAGAGAGAGAGAGAGAGAGAGAGAGAGAGAGACATAAAAGAGGGAGTCAATATTGGTTTGAAGATAAAATTGAACACAAAGAAAGGTCTAGAGAACTACAAGACTGCTACCAACTAACAATTTGAGCTTCCGTGGAAAGGCTACCATAAATGCCCATCCCGGAGAGTGAGATCAACAACTAACTTATCCATGGAGCCCTCATCTAATACCTCTTGGAAACAGGAGCAAACACCCATACATAAACAATGAGTCGAACTAGAACCCAGATGCAGAGGGAGAGGACAAGACCAGGAGGCAGAAACACATAGAGACAGCTTACCTGAACAAGGAGGAACTAATGGGCCACCAGACTGATAGCTGGGAAGCCAGCATGGGACTGACTCAGGCCCCCCTGAATATGGGTCTCAGCCAGAAGGACTGAGCAGTCTAAGAGACCTCAGACAGTGGAGCCAGGATGTATCCCTGGTGCACAAAAGGACATTGCTAACACATCTCCCATGGAGGGATAACTGCCTTAACCCAGAGACGGGAGAGAAGCCCTAGTCCCTACTTCACAGGACCTGTCACATCTACATGACCCCAACTGGATGGCATTCCCCTACATATGGAATCGGGGTGGGGGGATGGGAGGGGAGGGTGGTAAGGGTGCATGTGAGAGGGCAGAGCGGGTAAAAGGGAGGGAGAGTGGGAGGGAAAGAGGGAGAAAGGGAGGGAGGGAGAGGGAACTGGGATCGACATGTAAAATAATAAATTAAATTAAAAAAATGCTTTGACTCCAAAATTTAAGTTCAAGGACAATTTGCTGGGGAATAGGATTTCTATTTTTGTTTCCACAGAAAATGAAAAGCTGTGGATTCCTTCCAGACTAGCGCGGTTTGATCAAGCCAGACCACCTGAAACACAGTACCAGGTGATCCTACATACAAAATAGCAGGACAAAGTAGCCTTACAGACTACAGCCAGAAATTCTGCATCTTCTTAGAATCCCCCATGATAGCGCCCCCTATCAGCAGGAAGTAGTTTGGGATGAACGAGGCCCAAATTCCCAAATATTGTTTATAAATGTTTGTTTTCTTTTAAGTGGGCTTGGTTTTAAATGGTTAATGACAACAACCAATCTCCTTTTAAAAGTAAAAAGGGGATTATGATATAGAAATGAATACTTTGTTTTGGAATGGATTTTCATTTATTGATACAATTTAAGGTCAATTTTATGATATGTATATTTCTCATTTTGTTTAGGTATTGTGTTTATTTAGCTCATTTAAAAATGTCATGTATAATTTGGTACAGATTTTAGATAGTTACCTATAATAGTCAAAATTTATAGCTAGGTGAGTTAGGTTTCCTAGATATGCAGAGATGTATTTGAGATAGATAGGAATTCTTCAAACCTTTCAAAGACCTACAGAATATGGCATTTAAAATGGTTTAGGGTTTTTGTTGACAATGAGGCACAATTCCTCCTGGCAACACCACCTGCGTCAGAAAGGAAGATGGACATTGAAGAAACTCGTTATAGAGTTTGCTTCCAATATGGCTAGACTAGCCATTTGGACAAGATACTGCTCTTGTCTGGACTGTTTGACTTTATGCTGTATAAACTGGACATGCAGGGACCACAGAAAAGTGACTGGTGATTCAAGATGGACATTGCTACAGAGTTCCTGCTTCATGGAAGAGTCTGCCAGACAGTCTGCAGGATACAGAGGAACGTGACTGACAAATTGCCAATACAAGATGACAGTTTAAAGTTTCCTGTTTTGTTGAAGAGTCTGCCAGACACATTATGGCCTATGGGCTGAAGATGGGAGATTACTAAAGAACTTCGGGTGATCAGGCAGTGAGTTGTCTCTGTCATTTCTAGAGTTTACATACTATCCTTCTGTGGTCTTTGAAGGAGTTGAAGACAGTTATGGTTATAGTTTTCCTTAGTTAGGATTAAAGATAAATTACATATAGGACTTTAGACTCACAAATATAGGGTAGATGATAGAATAGTTTTTCAAATCTTGCTAAATGTTAATGTACTAAATAGTGTTAACTGCGATTCTTATTTGATAACTGTTATGTGATATATTTTCCAATATTAAGGTTGAAACCCTTCTTTTTATTTTAGACAGAAAAGAGGAGATGATGGGAGATGCCATTCTGTATATATTGTTTCTTATACTGGTTAATGAATAAAGCACTGTTGGCCAATAGGAAAGGAGGATGAGAGAGACTAGGAGACAAGGAGGAAAGGGGAAGTGGGAAGGAGGAGCCAAGATGGAGAGTCTGGAGAAAGCAGAATGCAGGCCAGCTCCCCTGTAAGAGAAATACATAGATCAGCAGAAATGGATTAATACTTAAGACAGAGCTAGCCGATAAGAAACTAGTACCTGGAAAACAGAATTATACCAAATACAGAGTCTCAGCATGTTATTTGGGGCTGGCGCGGGGGCGGGACAAGACCGGAGGCAGGCAGAAAAACCTGTACTCTTTACAATCACACATCAAGAGAATAGTATACTGTAATAAGATAATCCATAAATAAAACTAAGAATTCTATAATGTTAATAATGATTTTACCAAAATACAGAAATATATCTAGCAAAATCTATTTTAACCCATTTTCATGGAAATGCTAAAAAAAAAAAAATCAAATGTTTTAAAATATACAAATTACTTCAGAGTGGTCAGTGGATATTAAGGTGAAAAAAGACATAGTTTCTGTCTTTAGAGTGCTCCATATCTGCTGAAGAAGTCAGAGTTAAGTTCAGGAAATACTTGTTGAATTCCTACTGTGAAAACAAGTTTAAGTTAAGTGTACTGGGGCAAAAGTGGAGCATGATTTGATCTCTATAATAAAAGGCTTTACACTTTACACTTTATAGTACTATATGTCTGGGTGTGCATTATGTGTGTATATGTGGAGATATTAGTAATTTATAGGAGTTAGCATACATGAAATTTCAGTGCAACATAGCAAGATATGATAAAGTTTTAATACCTTTAAGAAGCACAACATAGAGGAGTAAAAGTGAGATAAAATAGAAACTGAGTTAAATGTTCCTTTAAAAAGAATTTGTAAAAATAGCTTGCTGACTGTATACCTGTAGAATCAGCTTTGAAAAGTTGAGCATTCTAGACTGTCCTAGTGTACATTAATGGGACCTTGTCTCAAGCAATGTATCTCTTACAGTTTTGATTTCTTTGCCTCCAAAGGTTTTTTTTCTTTTTGTCATGACTATTATTTCTAAAAGTTTAATTATATAATGTGTATGTATCTGACATGTCTGTGCACTGTGTGTGAAGTTCCTGGAGGCTAGAAGAAGGTGTGAGATCCTTGAAACTGGAGTTACATATGGTTGTGATTTGCTTCATTGGTATAGGAATAGAACTGGGTCCTCTAGCAGAGCAGCCAGTGCTCTTAACCATTGAGTTACATTTCCTTATTTTTAACAGACACACATTTTCTTTTTTACATTTATGTGGAACCAGGTGGTGTTTTAAAACATTTTTGCATTAGTTTATCTTTTCCTTGATATTAAATAGAAGCGTAACCTAGAGACTGAGAAGATCTTTCATTGCTGAGGGAAAAGCTAGTGTGACTAGGTCATAGAGACCAAGAAGAAAACAAAGTATGGAGGACTATAAGCATCTGAGACGGTAGACAGTAGAAAAGATTGTCACACTACTGCATCTTGAATTTGAATTATTTTGAAATTCTTGGAAAATAACTGCACTAATAATTCCTGAAATTAAAAAAAACTACCTACTTTATTTCAATGCAACCCTCCCCTCTCTTTTTATTTTAGTATTTTCAGACATGCAAGCATTTTAAATAAGGTAAAGTGGGAGGTGACAGACCTTGAATATACTCATGAGAATTCTTTTAACTTCTTGGCATAGACAACCTTAAGCTCACTTATCAATTATGACCACTTCTATATAAGTGTATTTTACTTTAATCATTTCTCCAGCATCTTCGTAAGAGAAAGTTGTATGGGCTCTTTTTATTTTGGTTGGAAATCAGATTCTGAAACAAAAGATTTATTAAACATCTACTATTCTTTATTATTCTTTCACAGTCTTTTCTCTGTCTCATTTTGACACTTACATTGCTAGGCGGCTGTTTGAACTGACTATAGAGAATACAGGAGGAATTCCATTCTGTGGAAACTAGGCAACAGGATTTTTATTTGATTGGTGTCCCCACCCCTCCCCCAACCCAGCACACACTGGAAAGACATAGAGGCAGACAAGACACAGAACATAGGTGGTCAGTATTATAATGAAGTGAAAATAGATGTGTCTGTTTCCAAAAAATGCAAATACAGACATGCTAGAGGAAAGAGTTTTCCTGGCGTGAATGAAAATCTCCTTTGTTCAGAATGAGCGCCTTTGAATTTCACTCTTCCCTGAATGTCTATGACCAATTTTTGCTTGGTAATTGTCAAGGGATAATTGTCAAGACTCCTCATGCTTGACGAGTAGAATACTTACATTTCTTTTCCATATCAAACCTCCAGGATAAATAAGCTATTTCACTTAAGACTGTAAAATGAATAGAACTTTTACCACTCGTTAACATTTCAAACACTGTATCTTTGTCACCTACCGGGACCCTTCACAGTAGAACTACAACACCCAGAATGCATTGTTTTCCCTTCCGCCTTCTATGAAGCGCCTGCTTGAGGAACTCTTATCCACAAACTACGGTCACATGATACGTTTCCTGTCAAGATGGCGGATAATCTCCCTTCGGAGTTTGATGTGATCGTAATAGGGACTGGTATGTGTGGCTGTGGTTTTTCCTAGACAAAATTTATGAAATAATTCTTGCATTTTAGTTTCTGTGTCAGTGGCGAGGGTTAGCGAGAAACGGTGGGGGTCGAGCCTAGGAGGGAGTTGGCAAAGGAAGTGAGGTAGTGTGGAGTCAGCACGGGACTTGGCAGCTCCAGGGAGGGGCTTGGAACCTCGGTGTTTTGCACCATTTGAGTAGGGGTCGATCTGGTCGATGCCGATTGCTGAGGTTGGTTGCTGCGGTGATTCCTGTTAATTTACTAGAGGAGGGTGGGTTTGCAGTGTCATGAGAATGGAGGGTCGGTTCATCAACGGAGACGCCATTGGCATAACATAATTGTCTCTTTCCCTCCTTGTTGATTTCAAGGTTATATTCCCCATCGTTTTCTGTCGCAATTTCTTAGGACTTTTCCCATATCCTTACACGGTTCTAGGATACATTGCACCTCAGATATAGCTTAATTTGCAGTTTATAAGAATGATGCTCAGTTGTTCCCCCCTGTGTATATCTATTACTGGAAAGGAAATGGACTCCTTTTTTCTTCTGTTGAGTACCCTAAGGGCTTTCCCCCACTGAGATAGCCATAATTCTTGCATTATGGTGTTTAAAACACCCTTGTTTGTGATGCAGAAAGGAAGTATATTGTTTTCTTTCACCCGTCTATACATCTCAACTATATGTGCTCTGAATAAGCCCCAGTGTTCCAGATCCTATGTCTGACCTAAGCTTCTCCTTGCTTTTCCATCATTTGTTCTCCATGTTTTGGGTGGAGCCAGAAATCCTCTTCAGTTTCTAGTTGACTAGTTAATCCTACAACTCTTGGCAGCAATTAACATTTCTTAACTATAAGGGATGTACTCTGCATAGGATAAAAGAGATAGTGGATGAGTTTTTCTACTGTCAGTAGAATGTGTTAGGCAAGAGAAGCTTTGGTGAATGTGATTCTGTCCATTGTGTTAATAAATTTAGTTTAATCTGTTCCCAAAGAGTAAGATAAGCCATATTTCAAGGTTTAGAGGAAAAACAATAGCAACTGGTTTTCAAATGCTTATCATTTCGCAATCAATGAACTAAGCACTTCATAAAATTCCAACAACAACCTTGTTAGAATGGGTCATCTTTTCAATACACAGAAGAGGAAAAGCAGCCTGCAAGACTAACTTGCCAAAGTCACACAGCTGGCAGTATCTGTGAAATGGAATCACTTTTTATTTACTCTCAAAATTGTACAATGTTAGCAGAAATAACTGGGAAATTACTATTACTTGCTATTTCAATTTTCCACAATTTTGAATATCAGTAGGGTAAATCAAATAGCCTTTAAAGGTGTTATCCAAACACAAATTCTCATATTTTAGATATACCTGAGTAATTAATTGTTCTCAGAACAGTAGAGCTTTGTTATTCCCAGCCTGAAGATAACTACTGCAATAGCTAACCTGGTTGTAACTGCAATGAACAGATGTTGGATGAGAGCTCCAGAGAGCCAGTAGACTATTCACTATTCCCAATTTGCTCTAAAACTGAGAACACCATCCACCTTAGAGTAAGGTGTTTTGTTTTGCTTTTATATGCTGTACTTGATTTGGGTGATGTGTTAACTTTTGTTAAATGTATTCTTTTAGGTACATTCTAAGTGGAAACATTTGGTGAAAGTCAGTTTTCAAATACAATGATTTTGACAGTTTCAGTCATTGCTTGTAATTGAACTGACTTTTAAAGCATGTTGATTTCTTTCTGACATACTTAGATGAAGTAGATTTCAAATGTGCTGGCGTTACTAAATTAATCCACAGATAACTTATAGGGAAACAGTGTTTCATGATTTCAGCTCTGTTAACAAAAGCAGAATGAATTATATCATTATCAGAAACAAGTAAAGAACTAGGCTATGAGTTGTAGTTCCCCTTAAGCAAGTTTCTAGTTAAAATATCATCAAGAGACAATGGCTTCATCTAGTAGAATCATCTAAGAATATTTTAAAAGTCCAGCTGTCTTAAATAATGTGTATTTTTACATTTTTGCATGACCTAGTGTAAAGCTTTCCTTTAACGTCATATTTTCCAGATATGGGAAAATACCAGAATACCCAAAGAAATAAAGTTAAGATACAGTACTTGAACTGTGAGGGAAAAGATAAAAAGAAAAGAGATCAAAGAGGTAAAACCAATAGGAATCTCAGTGGGGAGGAAAACGTACATAAATAAATGATTAGAATGTGATTGTAATTTCAGGATAGTTTGGCATTTAAAAATAATTTTAGTAATAATTTTGTGGGTTGTGGAAAAGTTGTCTTTGGGTGCAGGTTAAAAATTATCCCAGTAATAAATTATATGATCTCCAGCAAGGACAAAAAATCACAAGTGAGGAAGAAATCTAAGTTACAAAGGATATATGATAATTTTTATATATACCATATATAGGAGCATAAATCAGCTCCTAACTTGAAACTCATTCTTAGTTTAGAAGGAATTCTAGCATGCTTAAAATGCACCATAACCAACTCATTTGGAAGCACAGACTGTTATCACCCATGAAGAGCATGTTTGGCTAGTGCTATTAGTTTTACAGGTGACTGAAAACTGAGAGCTCTGTAAGAAAGGGAATATACATGAAATGGCACAATGGCTTGACATTTATTAATGTAAATACATACACAATCAATCAATTTTCGTGATACTCAGTTCCTATAGAGAAACTAATCCCTTATACTTAATAATTGCAATTTCTTAGAAAACTTTTGGACTTCTCAGAGTCATAGTTCTACAGTTTTTCCTAAAACCATGGAAAGTTCTCATATCATGGGTTATTTATGCTTTCAGAACACCATTTATAAATTCAGTCTGCATGCCATTCCTTCTCAACTAACTCCTTTATCTTTGCCAACAGTTCCTCCTCTAAGAGACTATGCAGTAAGTTAGCTTATTTAATTTCTTAGTTAACTATTTTCTTGAAGATAGATCTTTTCTTCCCCCACCCCTGCCTCTCTCTTCTCCTCCCACTCTCCCTCCAGTCTTGTGCGGTCTTTGAACCTGGGCTTTTGCACATGCTATGAAAGTACAGAGTTACATACCCTGCCCTCTCAGATCGTTTTAAAAGAGCTGTTAGCCAAAGCTTCTCTTAGGTAAGGATGTTTGTATGTAGGTGATTCCATGGTCTTTGTAGCCTTTTAAAGAAGTTGAATTTGTGTTCTATATATTGTATTGATTAAAACTTCCTTAAACAAACCAACCAAACAAACAAAAACAACAACAACAACAAAAAAAAAGCTGCTTTTTTTTTCCCCTCAGAGATGTTAGCTGCTCTTTTTCAGGAATATTCATGTAGATAGCCCAGTCCCATTCATGATTTATCAGAATGCAACATTGAGTTAGTTATCTTTGACTGGCAGCTCATTCAAGGATTAAAATGTTTCTGATAGCAGTAGGGTACTAATTTCTAAATCTTGGTGAATAGTAATGCTGTAGCGAGTGGTGTAAAAACTGGCATTTGCCAAGAAGCACTTATGCTATGCTCAGTACACGTTATTTCCCATATGTACATACCATTTAATACTCTTCTTAGGATGTCTGTTATCATAATGTGCACATATTCCTTCTCTTCAAATTTCCTTGCACCTACTCACCTACTGTTGAGAATGGTGTGTGTGTGTGTGTGTGTGTGTGTGTGTGTAATTTAGTTTTTAACATTCCAATAACAGTTTCCCTTTCCTTCTCTTCTCCCACCTCTCCTCTACCCCACCCCCTTTCTATTCAGGAAAAGGCAGGCCTCCCATGAATGTCAACCAATGATGGCATACCAAGTTTCAGTAAGACTAAACATCTACCCAGGTATTAATTTTGGGCGAGGCAACCCAATATGAGGAGTAGTGTTCCAAAAGCCATTCAAAACATTAGGGGCAGCCCCTGATCCCAATGTTAGGAGTCCCACAAGAAGACCAAGCTATACAACTATAACATATGCAGAGGCCTATGTCAGTCCCATTCAGGCTTCCTGGTTGTTAATTCAGTCTCTGTGAGCCCCTATGAGCCCAAGTTAGTTGATTATGTGGTTTTTCTTGTGGTGTCCTTGACCCTGTAGCTCCTACAATTCCCACCTGCTTTTCCTCAGGATTCCCGAGCTCTGCCTAATGTTTGGCTGCGAGTCTCTTTGCATCTGTTTCTATCAGTTGCTAGATGAAGCCTCTCTGATGACAATTGGGCTAAGCACCAAGAGTGGCTTTGTTTTTTAATTGCAAGTTGCCATTTCTCTGTAATGGATGCTAGCTCTAAATGAATATATGTGTGTGTGTGTGTGTGTGTGTGTGTGTGTATGATGTATGTATTCTCTTTATACACACAAAATTATAATGTCTAGAAAACAATAATCAACTTAATAGTAAATAAAATTTAAAGAAGTATTTCAAAGGTCCTTTAGAACTTCCATATATTTTGCACACTTCTACATGCATATGCCTCATGCAGTATAATGAGGCAATTGATAGTATGGCTGTGGAATCAGCCACATTAGGCACATTCCTTAACCCTTCTTAAGTTCCATCTTATTTCTAGGTAGGATGAGTTCCACAAGCTGTGCTAAATATTAAAGAAATAATTCCGATGCATTGTTCACAAAAATGTAGCTCATTTTTAAAGTCCAAAAAGTCATACTGATTTTTTTTTATTATCATTACTATTTAGTCTAAATAGCTTCAAGAAAGAACTCAGACTTTTCCAGTTCCTGGATGATGTTATTGTAAGATTCATTATATTCCCCTTCCCATTGGCTACTTGGTTGGAAAGACCTTTGTGTATTACCACTTCAAAAAAAATCAGATTGCTTATCTGGTAGTTTATAGCTATTACTTCTTTTCTTGGGTTTGCTTCACCAGTTTTCATTATTTATCATTTGTTTGATTAGATATATCAATTCATTAGGGTCACATGCTTCTTCATTGCTTAAAAATGCTGTGGAGGTAAAGAAAGCCTACAGATCTTGCTATTTTGTACCAGCAGAGTAAGGAGGACTTATTTAATTCCAAGGATTCTCTGAGCTGCTACACTTCTCTGTAAATCATAAATTTGAGCCAATCCCTTAGAGAGAGCCACATCTGTTACCGGAGTTCCCTGGGCAGCATCATTTTCATCTCCCATGCTGCTTGTCATTTTCTCATTTTCTCCAGTGTTCTCATGATGTTTTGGATAACTCATGCTACAGCAATTAAAATCAAATGTGGTTGCTCAACCTCACATTCTCATGTTTAACATAAAATCCCAATGCACAGAAACAA